AGATCTCAGTCGTGTGGACCCAAATCAGTTGGGTGCCAAACAGAACCGGTAAAGCGCCTGTTGTTGATCCTTGGTCCTTGGAACACTCAGAATTTACATCGTGAGCCCGACAAGTGTTGCGTATGTCCAACAAAAAAAAAAAAAAGTTTACACGTGCAAACATCTGTCAAGTATTGAATGATCTCTGCCATGTCATCTATTTCCCCTCCTCGAAGTCGTATTTGGGGCCAAAGCTGTGGTTGGAGGAAGTGACTCTCCTTGTATGAGTCGTTCTTATGTCCAAACCCCAACCTCATTTTACTGTTGCCAACTGCCCGTAGTGGGATGCCACTACAACAAGGGAGACCACCATAAGGCATAAGGTTTGAGAAATGCAACCCCCCCCCCCCCCCCGCAGAGTTCTGCAACCATTTTACTCGGGGAAAAGCAAAAGCCTGGGCTGCTGGCTGCTCCGCTCGCTGGGCGTCTTTGGCCATGCGCTTGATCCTGAGCACAGAAACCAAATCTGAATTCCTTCATGTCCCCTTACCGAACAGTTTCCAATGAGCTCTGCTCTTCACATCACTGGTATTCCAGTATTCCCACCTTTGTGCCGGCCGTGTAGGCCCCCCCCACACGCCGATCTTGCACACCCGGTCCTCGGCAGCATCCGCTCGCGTAGCTGCAACAAATCTTTCTCCAGCTGTTCCAAAGGAGCGGTGCCTGAACGCGAGCAACACTTGCGACAGCCCGAAAGGTCGGCTCTTTGAAGCTCAGGTGTTTCTCAAAATTCGCCGACGCTAGTCGAGCGAGATGGCAATCAGCAACTTGCTCTTCCTTCGGAATTTTCTTGTAAAGCCAAAGGCCTTCGGGGAGGCTATTTTGGGCCAAATTTGCGGGGCGTCCAAAACCCTGTCATTTTCCAGTGGGTCTTCGAATGCCGAAAACGCGTTTTCCAGGAGGGGGGACGGTGGTATGTCTTGGCGGCATGACTTTTGTTGCTGGTTTTGCTGATATCGACGGTGTTTTTTCTGCTTTGAGCGATGTTGGATTTAGCAAGTTTGGGGTCTTGGCGGGGGCAACAATCTAAGGATCTGCAATTACAAAGAAAAAGTGTTTTGCGAAATTGAGGGTGTCGCTGCGAAATATCCCCACCATTGTTGTGCTTTTAGATTCACGCATCCCCGGCATTCCCAGCATTCCCAGCACTCCCATTCCCGGCACTCTTCTAGCATCCCCCATTCCCAGCATTCTTCTAGCATTCCCAGCATTCCCAGCACTCCCAGCACTCCCAGCACTCCCAGCACTTCTAGCATTCCCAGCATTCCCAGCATTCCCAGCATTCCCAGCACTTCTAGCATTCCCAGCATTCCCAGCATTCCCCAGCACTTCTAGCACTCCCAGCACTCCCAGCGTTCTTCTAGCATTCCAGGCTACTTTCATGCAAACTACCAGCCGCCCAGTCCCACCCTCCTCGTCCATCTCCAAACATTATGTAATGGTAGATAACCCAGACGCAACAAACCCATGTTGGCGGTTCCGAGAAAAAAATAACTGTCAACTTGGCCAATTTGTTGATATTTAGTCCGGCTTGGTATGCAGTCTGGCTGCATAGGGGAGGGATAGGCAGTTAGTGGCGTCGGCGGATCGCATAGCGATTTCCATTTAGGAAGGGTGTCCTTCTGGTGGCCCTCCCAACCAATTGAGGTCCAGACCCGTTTCAAACCTTACTTCCTGACATCCCATGCATTTGGTAGGTGCGCGCTATTCCAGCGAATGGCTGCGGTTCTCGACCGAGGTACGCCAGAAGGGTGGAATGGGCAAGGCTCGGCCGTCATCGAACCTCAGCATGGAGGGGGGGGGTGCCGGGCTCCGTGCTTTGTTTTTGGGTTTTTGTCAACCAAGTGACGTCAACCCCCCAAAACCGGCGAATCTCTCCATGGCGGTACAGCCCATTTGTTGCCGGCTTGACAACCGAACAAGTGCAACAACTTGTGGCATGTTGCCCTCCTCTAGGCCACCGAGCCTCTTTGGCTGCCCATCTTGCACTTGGCTTGCCTTCGGCCACAAAACGTCCGAGCCACGGGGTGGGCAACAGGTTGGCACACAACACCTGACAAGCACAGTGACTGATGCGCATTGAGTAAGGGCGTACCAGTGTCATGAAAAATCACTACATGGAGGGCTCACCCGGTCCCTGAAATGCCATCCATCAATCATGGCAACGTCGCGTCTACCAAAAAAGTAGTAGTGACCCCAGCAAAATCAGCCAACGGACTTCATGACCGAAATCGCTCTTCGATTGCCCACGTCCAAAGCAAAGTCCAAACCTGACCACTAAAATACTATATACTCCCAAAAAGGCTTAAAGTCCACGAACTGACGCGAGAATCAGTGGGTCACCATGTCGACTCCCTTCGCCATGGGACTCGACTCGCTCTCCGGCCTTGGGCTTGGCCTTCGGGGCCTTCAAAGAGGTGAGCCAGTCCTAAGCCAGAAGATCTCGGACAAATGCCCACCTCCGAATACCAACAGCTTGGAATCTGGGGGGAAATCGGCAGAAAAAGGCGGTGTCTCTTTTGGGGACATCTATGTGTTTTTTTTTCCCAAAAAAGGGGGGTACCCTCCAAAAAAAGAAGAGCCACCCAAATGAACCATTTTCGTTCGGTGTTCAGGTGTTCAGGGGAATATTTCAAAGGGGGCGGATGCAACCGGCTCAGAGCCCGGCGAGCTCCTCTGCAGGTTTGGGCTCAGGCGCCTGGCGGCCGTCTCGGCGATATGCAAATGAACGGCACCTGGCGCTGACAAGCTGTAAGAGGACCTGCATGCCTCTAGCACATCCGGTACCCAGCCCGAAATCATCCCAAGATGACTCCAATGAGAACCACGAGCAGTTTGTTGTTAAAACAACAAGCTGCAGAAGGAAACTCAAGGAGCTCCATGCCAACAACTGTGCATGTTGTTTTGGGTGCCCTTGTTGAGGTGGTTTTAAAGGGATGCCATAGGGAAAACCACCATGTTGGTCGTTTCTATTTCGATCCCCACCCGTCCTCCGCCACGAGGGAGGTGAGCCAGGAGAGGTCGGCTGGCGCCTGAGCTGGCAGGCATGTCTCGCCCGGTGGCGCAGCATGCACAGGCCCCTTTTGGAAGACGACGTTCCGCCTGGCAAGGGTTTTTTGTGCACTTCCGAGTGCGGGAGAGGAATTCCTCTAAGAACCAATGTCTCCTGAGCATGGTTGCATTCCCGACTCTGGGGCAAATGGAGATCTTGCACCCTGTTCAGCGGCCGTGGCTTCTCAATTCAGAACGGTCTGCCAAAACTTGACCAGAACCTTGCAGGGAGCCATGGGTGCAGCTTAACGCTGATGAAAGCCGCGAGCTCTTGTGTGTGTGGTGTGTGTGGAGATCTTCATTCACTCTGCAAGTCTTTATTCAATCCCAAGGCGTCCAACACGGCAAGGATCTGATGTTGTTGATTCCTTGAACATCCTTTGTTTGGAACAATCGGTATCTAGGTGTTTAGCGAAGTCAATCCGATGCATACCTACTTCTAGGGCTACATGTACCCCTGTGCCCCTCATTCACTGGAAAACTATACCCTCCTTTTGTCTTTGTACTAGCTAGATGCTATGCTGAATCGTATAGGTTTGTAGCATGTCCAATATCCGTCATTATCCATAAAACTTGATGCGCAAAAACCAAGCATTTATCATTCATCCCTTGCTTGCGCCAAGTTTGGCAAAACCAAAGACTGGATTCGGCTCGGAGTAGTTGTCTTCTTCGCCACTAATTCATTATAGTATCATGCAAGAGTGCGTTGATTGCCATGGATGGCTACACCCAGTTGAAACAACTTAACTGCTGGTTGATGTTGATCTGTCACAAATGGAGATCCGGATCAAGTTTAGGTTCTCTTCAAGACTTTCACTTGAAAAATGTTCCCTCACTTCAAAAAAGAAAGGGCTAGGAAACACAGAGCTGACATCCCAAACCCATGCTGGAGGCTCCTGGCAGCCTCGGGCGCCACAGGCGCTTCCTCCACGCCCTCATCCTCCTGGACCTGGAGAAAGGTAAAGGAACATGAGCCACGGTCAACATATTGTTTTTCTTTTTTCCCCTTATTATGGGTGTGTGATGACATGTTCAAAGACTGGCTACAACAAGTATGTGCAGGCAACCGTGCCTAGCAGTAGGTTGCTGTAGGTCCAGAAGCTGTTTGCCTTGAGGGAATCATGTAGCAACAGACACACAAACACAAAAGCTTCGAGTGATCTCAGCATGATCTACTCAGCGTCCATGGCAGCTGAATCCTTTGCGTCACAAGCCACCATCCAAACTCCTTCTATGCACCATCAGGAATTCTCAATAGGAACACTTGCATTGGTCTAGAGTCCCTTTAAGTGACGGATGACCGTCCCTACCAACCGCAAGTGGGGTGTCAAATGACCATTGCACATAAGAGGCAGCATGCCAACATGGCCAGCTTCTTGGGCTTGGTACAATTGATGCAATGGGCTTCACGTATCTCATCAACGTCCTATGATCACTTGGGATGGACGAACCCCTACAAATACTGGAAAAACCACCTACCACCTACCAACTGGTGCAGGCTTTCGTCCACCCACAGTATGAAATGCCCAGGGAACAAAAGGGATGGCAGTCCAGGCACCCCCACTTCTTGGGTTTGGGTTGACACCACCCCGAGACTTGTTCACAGACCTCTTCCTTCTGCTCCCATCCGCTCCCATCTCCCATTGGCTGCCGCGCCGGCAGGTCGCTCTCCCGGCGCTTGGGGCCGCCTTTGAAGACCCGCGCGAAGGTGGGCGCCACCTCCGCGATCCTCGGCGCCGGGAGATGCGCATCGACCGCCGGCACTGACGCGCCGGCGGACGTCTGACTATCCCAAAACGGCGCCACGTGGGGATGAAGAAAGGAGGAATGCGGAGTATGGTTTCTTTGCGAAAGGTGCTAGTTGGAAAAAATCATATAGAATGAGACAAAGGTTCCCACCAATGCCCCAAGAAGTGGAACCAAGGCAAACACTGATTCTGGCAACGAATGCCTCCCTGCCGTTCAAAAATTGCAGTGTCCAGATTTAGCCAAGGTCTTTCCTGCAAATCAGCTCATGTCTGTGATGTCTGATTCCCTCCAAATGCTGGCAGTTAAAAGAGAGATTGTTGTTGACGAGGTGGCACCCTGATGCTGCAGTCGGCTCACAAGTGCACGTGTCTAGCCCTTCGGTAATGAAGGCCTGAAAATCCTTGGTATTTCTGGATCACTGCATCCAGGGAGCTGCTTCACCTTCTGCCTTTTCTTCGGCGCCTGGCGGGCAGCTTGCGCGAAGTCACAAGCATCCAACATCAGGTCTGTAAACAAGCCGTCCACAACAGAGCTGCAGTCCAGTCAAGTTCAATCCGGGTCGCAAGGAGTTCGCACGGACTTGAATGAACATGCAACTCTGTGACCAAGATAGCCCAATGGCTCTCAAGCCAGCCCTCAACTCTCAGAACATGGAGCAAAAAAACTACACATCTCTGGAGACACACCTCCTTTGGGGCGAACCCTGATACCCTTTGTTCGGGCTCCAAGTTGATTTGCAGAGTAAATAAACACAAGATCTAACAAGTCGGACAGGTCCCGAACCATCCGTGGCATAAAACCTGTCCACCAGCCCTGCCTCATCTTTGGCGGTAGCTTTTTCGGGACCCTCAGGGAATGGATCCAGCTGGTGCCACACGCAGCATCTGCAGAACCGGAGAAGTGTTGAAAGGTGATAAGCTGGAATCTTGCTTGTGGTTTCTGGAGAGCAAGTTTCTTCCGCAAGCGACCTTCCAATGGGTTCCATGTCAGTTGTGGGGAGGCGATAATGTACCAGCAAGGCCACTGTGGCAGTTGAAATGGAAGATTGTCCACCCCGGTGCCGGGTGCGAAATCGCGAAATGCTGAATGGTTGGAGTTAATGTTTTTTGTCACCCCTGCCAGTAAACTTCAAGGAAAGGTTTGTTGTTGTTTTGATTCTGGGATAGCGGGCAGTGGAGCGAGCTGAGGCAATGGAGACTCCAAGAAACCGTGGCTTGCAATCATATTTCCCAGTATGACTTTGTGTTTTGTTGGAAGTCGGGAAAGGTAATGCCCCTCATAAGTTGGCGGAAAAGAACGAACCAGCGCCCTCGTGTTGGAAGGCAGCTGCGCCACTGAGGTCCCAGCTGGGTCGTACCGGTGCACCAGCAGCCCCCCTGCACAGCAAGCAGCGCAAAATTTGCTGCTTCCCACCGTGCCAAAAGGCTTGGAGGAGTAGACCTTCATGCCAGTCGTGCAGAAAGCAAGCACAATAATAACAGTAAACATCATCATCATCGTCATCATCATCATCATCATCATCATCAACAACAACATCAACATCAACAACAACATCAACATCAGCATCAGCATCATTATCATCGTCGTCGTCATCATCATCATCACAACCATACCACTTCCACCGTCATCATCAACAACAACCACATCATCAAAGTACCTTGGCATTGCTTCACATGTGTTTCGGACCAGAAGTTGCATGCCCCCTCGTGAACTGCACTCCTTTCCTTTCAGATGAACTTGCGCGATACATGAATCACTGCAAGACGTTTAAATTGACGTTCCCTTTGATCTGTGGGCTCCGTAGGTTTCTGGCATGCTTCCTGCACAGCAATGCCACAAGCTTCAGCAGAAGGGCAAGTTGCTTTTTTCTCAGAATCTCAAAACCCCAACAGGGCTGAATTTCAACCGAAAGACACAAAGAACCGATCCAGCCACAATTTTGCCCCACCCCAAAAGCAAGCTGACCCTGCCTGGCGGCATGACCTGAAAGAGATTGCGGGCACAAGCCTTGGAAGCAAACAGAGGGCGCAATTCACGTGCATGGTCAATAAACCCGCAGAGCGGGGTCTGGAATCCCTAGCATGATGGATCACTGCAGAACATCCGATTGATCAAGCGGAGGTGTGACCACGTCACATATTGTTGAGGTACCGTCCAACTCAAGCTTGTCTTCTTAATGGTTTCACGGGTTCCAATGTTCACAGCTCGTAAAATGAAAGTTCTGCAATGTGACAAATTGGTGCTAGCCTGGTTTTGGAACCAAGTTGGAACAAACCTGCCAGAGGCGGTCCGCTTGTATGCGAGGCTAGTTCAGGTGGCATTGGCGGGGTGGCGGGACTGCACAGTACAGTAGCCTCTGCCCGCAGAGTTCCTATTTTCAGTAGTGCTTTCATGACTCATGACTCCTTCTTATTCTCCTGTTCCTCCTTCTCCTTGGCCTAGACTTTCCATGCCTTTCCTTGTGCCACACAGGCGTCAATTTCCCAGACCCTCCGCCCCTCCCCGCGGGGCCCAAGCCAAAGGGATGCAGCGCTCGCTAACCAACAAGCTACGCCTATGGCCAGTGCATCCTGGGCCGAAGCCTGAATCCTTCTGCGAGGCCACAACGTTATGTTGTCATGTGTGTGTGTGTGTGTGCGCCTTTTGCATGCCCGAGTAAACGTGATCTCTGGTTGCTGTCTTCGAGCGGGTGCAGCTCTGCCAATTGTCCCACCAGTTTGCTGAACCGACCCTTTGAGCCAACGCCTGCGCTGCGCCCACCTTGCGCCGAACAAGTTTGCCCCTGTGGAACTGATGCGGGTGAATCGGACTGATTCACCGGTGACGTTGTCCTGGAACCTTTGCCCCTCATTGTGAAGCGGCAGACGTGCAAAGCCTTTCTGACATCACAAACCTCGCGCTCGTCCTGTTGAGGCTTGCGCCTCTTTTCGGGGTAAAGAGAGAAGCAAACTGGAACACCAGAGCTGAAACCCAGGCTTTGTACACCCGCAAATGTTCGGGGCCCTCTTTGGTGTCCCTTGAAACATCCATAGCAATCGAAAACCGGCGCCTTGCCCAGCGCCAAGGGGTCGGAGGTCACGATCGCCTCCACCACCCCGTCACCGCAGGGCAGGGCCTGGAGGGGGGGGGGGGCCGGGCAACTGGCAGGGGCAAGACACCTGGGTGGCTTGATTTTTTCCTTTTGAGTTGGCCTGTTGCTGTTTTTTGAGTTGGCTTTTGCTTTTTATCGGTTGTTTTGAAGGGAAGCCAATTGGAATCTACTCGCTCGCTTTGGCGCAAGGTACCCCTATGTTGACACATACCCAAATGGCCATTTGTGTCATCTGTCTTCTTATTAAACTTGTTGGAAGACCGCTTTCCCAAAGCGGCCTCCTGTCTCCCGAAGGGCCGAAAGACGTACCAACACGATGATGCACGCCGGAACCCGTTTCTTTCCCATCCGAGCCTCTTTGGAACTGCAGGGCTCAAAGGCCTGGCTGGGAGGAAATTGCAAACCACTCTTCAAGGCAACCGTCTTTCTTTCAGAGTCCCAAACAGAGCAAGCAATGTGGTCAATTGTCATCCTAAGGGTGGAGATGCAAAGCCTAAAGCAGGCAGCCGACCGCGCTCAAAGCCTTCCGTACAGGGCTGCATGAAACACATCAAGAGCTGGAGGAGGCACAAAACACAAAAGCTTCCGACTAGAGCTCCCTACAAGGATCCAAGAGCACAGCAGCTTTGTTCACCGCCGATTAAAAGACTCTTCCCAGCTGCTGGGTAAAAGCATTGTTGCATGTGTTGGCCACCCCCGCAGCCCAAGTCAGCGCCCTCTGTCCCGCAAATGGCAAGACCTGGGTGGGCTGCAGCAGGAAGAGGACGATCAGCACGGTGGTCCAAACGACAATCACCATGGATCCAGCCTCAGAACAGCTTGGGCCGCGGGGCTTGGGGCTTGGGGCTGGGCCATCCGCCTGACAAGGGCGAAATGCAAAGGGATCGGGGACAAGGCAACTTGCGTCCATACAGTGCGCCAAACACGGCCAAGGGGCAGCAGTGAATCTGAGGCCGCTGAGGTTCTTGAAGCAGGCCAGGGTCGCAGCCGGCGCGAAGCTGGCGAATTTGGCGAGGCGGGAAGGCGGAAGCGTGGGCGAAAGATCTTGCTTGGTTGGCTGGTTGCTGGTTGTTGGGTTGGTTGGCTGCCTGGCTGGAGGCTTGTTATGCAAGACACCTCAGCAAAAGGGTAGTACATAAATGCCCATGATTGGGTTTGGCACCATCCCCAAGCAATCTTTCCGATTTCTCCTCGACTAAACTTCCTTGTTGAGAAGGTTCAGTGTTCCTTGTCTGTGGCTCAATTTTAACTTTCATGCTCTGCCTTGTTGATTTGCACGAAGTGTACATTCCTATGTTTGAAGCGTGTTCCCTTTCTTTATCCTGTTTGTTTCCGTTGCTCATGACAGTTCACGTCTCCTTCGTACGAGATCCATCAGCGTGGTAGCATTCTAAGGCAGCTCTCCTCATGTCGGGAGAGCTAAAAGATCCAATTAACGAATGCCATTGATATGGCAGTCACCATGGCTGCATGCCTGATTTTGTCTCGTCCCTGGTGCATTCACCCGGTTTCACGACACTTCCTAGAACACGTCGGCGCCCAAACAGAATATTCCCCCCCCTCTCTCCCCGAATCCCTCCAGAGATGCCTCACCAGGATCACCTCCCAGCGGGGCCGCTGGAAGCCAAAGTGCGCCAAAGCCTCGGCCGTCGGGGCTTCCGCCTTCCTCTGAGCGAGTTTTGCCGGGGTCGGATTGGGATGTGTCCTGAACTCGGCAGCACTCACTGACAAATTGGGATGTAAGGGAATACCTTCAAAGTGACGGAACCTCGGTCAAACACAGGGCTAAAATGAAGCGAGCTGTCCGGGAGTGCGGCAAAGCGGAGAGACCCCGAATTCCATGCATGAATCTCTTCCCTTCGTTGGAGCCTCACTTCTTTCCGGGAAAACAACTCTGGGCATGCGGCCTCCCATATTCTCCCAGGCGCTTCAAGCTTAGCATCCATTTCCAGGCGGTGCAGTCGAGGCGCGGGGGGAGCCAGGTCGCCTACAATGATCAAGTACGACGTGGCCACCCCGAAGCATTTCACCATCACGGCCCCGTCCTGAGCACAAGCCGCCCATGGGCAAGCTGAGCACAAGCGCCCCATCAAATGCAAAGGAAAAACACCTTAGGCATCAGCTGGTTGATTGATGCATTTCAAGGGAAAGCCAAAAGGAAACACCTGACAATCTCTACGCCAGGCGTCGATCAGCCAAGTCCAGCGTGGCACCACTGCATTCGAGACCTGGAAGTCGTGAGGTCCGAGTGTGGCACCCCCTGTACCCTCATTTACTCTTGGGTCCCTTACTATTGCAAAATCAACAACCTGGGAATTGGAGCTGAAGAGTGCTGTTGGAAAAAGCCACGACAGCTCGGCGGAAGAGGCCAGCCATTGTTTTCCTTGTTCAGCAGCCTGTGCTGGCGCCCAAAATGGTTCGTGAATTCGGGTTGTGGGGCTTGGGACTTTGGGCGTGTTCGTGTGTTCGTGTGGGTGATCGATGATTGGTTTGCAGGGTGTTCGTAAACGGCTGACTCAAATCTAGACTCTCACCGACCGACCCGCCGACATGATGCCACCTCAGACCCAGTCGCCAAGCCTGGACACAAAATATTGCTCGCCCATGTGTCTGGCCCAAAGACTGGTCTCTTGACAGTCTCTTGCCCCTGGCGGGCAATCCGTCATGGTATCATCTCCTGGCTGCGATATGGGCAAAACTGGCCACGGCCACTTCACATACTTCTCTTCAAGCAGCAAAAAGAACGAGCCACGGCCACATCACACTTATGAAAGGTTTCAGCGTGTTTATTCTTTTTTTGGAGCAACTAGTTTTGGGAAAGCCACGCTCAAGGCTCAGGCGGTGTAGAAGCTGCAAGGAGCTTGGCCAATCCTGCGCGAAAAACCGGACCGCACACGGTTCGCCAGGGGGGCCTGCTCGTTGGGCTCGTCTTTTCATTCAGTTTTGTTCCGGGCTCATGAAGATTGTCTGGCAGAGAGTTAGCCATGTGGAATGGTCCTGGAATGGGCATGGGCTTCCTCCCAGTCCTGGATCATGGAGTTTGAGACGAAATGCATTAACTGAACTACAGCCAGCTACGCACATTGCAGGCAACCAAGCTCATCATGCACTTCTAAACAGTTGTCTTCAAAAGGAAACTGTCCTATGCGTCCCTTCCAAACGGACCAGAAAGAAAACCAAGGGCGTTCTCCCTGGCCACTAACATGGAACCCACCAGAGGGTCAACATTTAGAGCAAATGGTCCAAGCATGACAGCAGTCAGGTTCCATGGCGACACGGGAGGGTATTGCAACATACAGGGTACCCTGCCTTTGGGTTCAAAGTAGAATGCAAACCACACATTTTGGGCAAAGAGTTGCTGTTGAGAGCAAGTGGGCACAAACTTCCTATGCTCCCTCACCTTGACTCTAGGTAGACTCTAGGTGACTTCCCCATTCTTCCAGAGATCGTTCCTGACACCATCCACCAAACATCCCACGTCCTTCGCGCAGAGCACTGCAGCAAGTGACACCCGAAGGCCGAGAACAACCCGAAGACCACCATCAGGCCCAGGCCCAGCAAGTAGCCTCCCGCTCCGAGTTGCATCCCTCTTGGCCAGAGAAAAAAAAAAGAAACGCACGGGCTCAAAGTGGCAAAGCATGAACACGCTTATATGAAATATGTATAATATATATATATGTGTGTGTGTGTGCATGTTTAACGTGCATCGAAGCGACATCTGCGTAATGTGTGTGTGTATATGTGAAAACGTAGAATATGACTACATGTATATATATATATATATATGTGCAACTATATGTCTGCATGTATGCATGTATGCAGGGCTGCATGTATGTGTGTATGCATGTTAGCAAGTTAGCTTGTTTGCATGGTATGTGTGTGGATATGTACATGGGTGTATATGTGCGTACGTGTCTGTATGTGTATGTGTATGTGTATGTGCATGCCCGTGCGCATGTGCATCTGCATGTGTCTGTGTGTGTGTGTATGTGTATGCATTGTATGTGTATGAGTATGTGTGTATGTATGTATGTATGTATGTATGTATGTATGTATGTATGTATGTATGTATGTATGTATGTCTGTATGTCTGTATGTCTGTATGTCTGTATGTCTGTATGTCTGTATGTCTGTATGTCTGTATGTCTGTATGTCTGTATGTCTGTATGTCTGTATGTCTGTATGTCTGTATGTCTGTATGTCTGTATGTCTGTATGTCTGTATGTCTGTATGTCTGTATGTCTGTATGTCTGTATGTCTGTATGTCTGTATGTCTGTATGTCTGTATGTCTGTATGTCTGTATGTCTGTATGTCTGTGTGTATGTATGTATGTATGTATGTATGTACGTATGTATGTACGTATGTATGTATGTATGTGTACGTATGTATGTATGTGTACGTATGTACGTATGTACGTACGTATGCAGTACGTACGTATGTGTGTGTATGTATGTGTGCATATGTATGTATCTATGTATCTATGTATCTATGTATATATGTATGTATGTATGTATGTATGTATGTATGTATGTATGTATGTATCTATGTATGTATGTATGCATGTATGTATGTATGTGTGTATGTATGTATGTATGTATGTATGTATGTATCTATGTATCTATGTATCTATGTATCTATGTATCTATGTATATATGTATGTATGTATGTATGTATGTATGCATGTATGTATGTATGTATGTATGTATGTATGTATGTATCTATCTATCTATCTATGTATGTATGTATGTATGTATGTATGTATGTATGTATGTATGTATGTATGTATGTATGTATGTTTGTATGTTTGTATGTTTGTATGTTTGTATGTTTGTATGTTTGTATGTTTGTATGTTTGTATGTTTGTATGTTTGTTTGTTTGTATGTTTGTATGTTTGTATGTTTGTTTGTTTGTTTGTATGTTTGTATGGTTGTATGTTTGTATGTTTGTATGTTTGTATGTTTGTATGTTTGTATGTTTGTATGTGTGTATGTGTGTACGTATGTATGTAATTATTTGTATATGTACATATGTGCAAGTGTATGTGTATGTGTGTGTATATGTGTGCATAGATGTGTGTGTGTGTGTAAAAGAATGAATGAATGAATGAATGAATGAATGAATGAATGAATGAATGAATGATTGATTGAATGCATGCATGCATGCATGCATGCATGCATGAATGAATGAATGCATGCATGCATGCATGAATGAATGAATGAATGAATGAATAAGTAAAATCAATGAGTAAAATTAAATGAATAATAAATGAATGAAGGAAGGAGGGAAGGAAGGAAGGAAGGAAGGAAGGAAGGAAACAAGGAATGAGTAGCGAGTGAATGAAGGTTCATTGAAATAAAAAAACACGAAATGATTGTATGTATACGTATACATATATATATATATATACACACATACACACACCAAGACGCACCTGACTATCCAAACTTCCAGACTTTTCAGACTACTTCGGCCAGACTTTCCAGACCTTACGCGCCCATCCACATGGAACCTCACATGGGGGTCATGGCTTGGACCATGTTGCTTCAAAAGGGAAAAGCTTGCCTGGTGGATTCCATGTACATGTGTGATCCGTGGACCGGCTATCCGTCTCCATCGTCGCGCGACCGGAACCGCGCGCCTGCTTTGGCCAAAGCCGCCGGCATGCCCAGCAGCCCGGAACCCCCCAGCAGCGTGTTGGCCAGCACCAGCGTGCCCGAGCACGCGCTCGCGAAGCTCAGGTTCTGACCGGCGACGCGACGGGCTTTGGGGGTCCAACTGACGCCCTGCAAAAAGTGAACAACGCTTATTGCAGCCTGTGAGAAAGGTTCTCAGAGTGTGTGTGGGTGTCTCGCTTTGCAACTCCAAACGCAAACAAAAAGCAGATCTATTTGTAAAGGTATATGCAGGTGTGCAACGTGTGTATAAATGTATATGTACTGATGCATGGAGCTGTTGGCAAATGTATAGAAGCATGCATCGTATGTTTATTCTGCAACGGCCAAGTGCTCTGCAGGCTGCGCCTTGGCTCGCTTGGCCGACTCAAAGGCTTCATTGGAGTCTCTGGGCAAATCCACCCCCAAGGCCTCACAAATGGCAGATGAATCCTGGGCAGAGGCCACCCACTCTTCTCCGAGCAAAAAAATGATTGAAGATATAGCAAACCTCCTATGAACAGACATCCAATTCATTCGGGTGCCGCTGCTTGAATGGACAAGGAACATATGGCACCACTTCGGCTTGGAGTCTAGCTTTAAAAGAAGCTAGGCAGCATTGCTGGCAAAAAGTACCGGATCACAAGTCTTGGTGGAGCAAACCTGGAGTTGTAGCTGGACCTTTCACAACAGCAACATGCAAACAGCGCAATCCATCCTTGATGGCTTGCATGAAAATATCTCCGGCATCGAGTGCGGAGAGTTGGGTAAGATCCATGTTTGCTGCATTGGCTGTGTTTCATCCATGGAGTGATTAAGATAGGGGACCCCCAAAATGGTAGTGTTCCGTTTGGTTTCACTTCAGAACGCCCCAAGAAAAGCGGCCCTCAATGAAAGACATGCTCGTGAAAAGGCTAATGTGTACGACCAGAAGGCAGGAGCCAAAGCATCATGGAACCCTGACAAGTCATTGGTTTTCTCAGAAAGCCTCATTGAGAAGTTTGGTGTTGGCCAGGGCAATCTGAGGTAGACATGCTATGCTGTCCCTGGAAAGGGAAGACACAAGGGCTCAATATCCATTGTCTACCCTTGCGGTTTGATTACTGGTTTGACGGGTGGAGAAACACTGTTCTTCTTTGGCAAAGTAAATCTATTTCTCGAGGGGGTGTACGAATAAGCAAGGCTTGGGTGGCGCGAGGAAAGAGATGAGAAGTCACTGGGCGTTCTTTTGGGTCAAATACCTGGAGAAAACGCACCTTGAGCTGCAAGCCGTTTTGGTGTGAGTGGGCTGTGCTTCTTGCAGGTGGGTTGCCCGTAACCAGCTTCTCCATTCCGGAAGCCTGCTCAAGATCACTGCTTTTGACACGCAAGTGTCTGACGCCCAGCGGGCGGAGTTCCTGCAATTCGCAGGCGTTGACTAACGAAGCATTTCTGCTGGGCGCGCAAGTCCGGACAGTTCCGCCCGGACGGCGACGTGATAAAAAAGACGCTCGAGCATTCTCCAGGTTGCATCGGATACTGATTCCGAGCCATAGCAAGGGGAGCCATTGCCCACTGGCCATGGCCTTTCCATGGCTCCCCCTGTGGCTCTGACTCAGTATTGGAATGCACCCATTCACTGGGCTCCATGAGCCCTCAAAACCTGGATGCTTGCCTCCTGCTTGTTCTGAGTGGCCGCGGCCAGTGGCGTCATGCCCTGCGCGTTGGGCTGGTTCACGTTGGCCCCAACCTCCAAGGTTTGTATACAATCGAAAACGTGGTTTATCATCATCAAAAATATGATGCATAGTCACAGCTCGAATTACTAGTTACACCTCAAAACAATCCAAGACTACTTTGTATCACCGCCAAAAAAAGGTGGTTTCTGTCTGATGTTTCCTTTGACAATACACCAAGCGGGCTCTAAGAAAGACACCCGCAGAATGTTCGGCCAAGCTAGCTGGTTGGCCACCTCGGTTACATCGGGGGACTTGTACGTGGGTTATATCCAAACGGTTTCCAACTTACTAGTTTGGCGAGGGCAGCCAGTTTGGGGTTGGTTTAAAGGGAAACTACAGGGACCCACCCATTTCTTGAGCTTCAAAACAGGACACCCCATCCCCGGTCACATCCCTTCCTTCAGGAGATACTCCAGCAGCTCCTTCCTGCCGTAGCCGGCCGCGTAGTGCAGCCCACTGTTCCCGGAGCTGTCCACCGCGTAAGGGTTCGCCCGGTTGTCCAACCTACAAAACAAACTGGCTACTCTTTGTTGCAACTTTGGAAAGTTGAAGGAGGAGTTAATCTTTGTGGGTTCGACAAATGAGGTAAACCCACAAAAGCAAAAGTGTGTTTCTTCGTTCTCTTCGAGCAAAAACAACGCGTGTCTTCTTTCAACAAAATGCCAAGTCCGGCAATGCAACAGCAGCTTCACCACGGCGATGCGGTTCGCGCCGATGGCGTAGCCCAAAGGCGTGATGCCCTTGAAGTCCTGGGCGTCCAGCGGCTTCTTCCTGGGGAAGTGCTGAGGAACTGCTTCGGCCAGAGACAAAGGTTCACAAGTTTGGGGACCAAAGGCACCAAAGGGGCTAAAACTCGAAAAGGTTGGTCCAGTTGGAACCAGAAGCAGCTCTTGGCCAAGGTCGCAAAGTTGTTACTAGGCTGGTGCGTTGGGCCATTGGCGCAAATTTGTTCTCAAAACTTTGTGTGCTCGGAGAGCACAATCTCCGCATGTCCGCTGAGTTCTCTCAACATCGGTCCTCTCCAGGAAGCTCTTCACCGCCGCGAGGTCGCCCCGCTTGGCCGCCTCGTGCAGCGTCATGGCGGTGTCCTCGATCTTCTGCAGCACGGGGCTGAGCTCCGCGGGCAAACCCCCCATCTTCTGGGAGATCTTCAGCATCAGCTCCTCGTCCTCCGACTTTTGAAAATGGATTCTGGTAGAAGGATGCATGAGGATGTTTCAAAGTAGACAACCCTTCAAATTGCACCGTTTCCCTTTGGTGTTCTTGCAAACCATCCGGACTATTAGCTTATCACTCATAAATACAACATATCCAAACAAATGAAACTTATTGTTACAATTAAATTACATTATGCTTAGGATTGTTGAAGGCAGGACACTAGCACAACAGGCAAGTCTGACAAATGATACAGCAAACATGCAAGCAAGGATATGTCCCCCAGATAGCTGAAAGCTATAGGGGTTTTAAAAAGAAGGGAAACTGATTTGCGAGATTGACGGCTGGGCGTGCAGTTTGGGGTGCTGGTGTAGGTGCTGTTTGGCAGCTGCTGGTGATTTTTCTAACATTGATGGCAGGGTGCTGGTGCAGGTCTGTTGGGACGCTGCTTGGGTGCTGGTGACGGCGCGGGCGCATGTTTGCGAGATTGACGGCCGGGTGCTAGGCGGCATGCAGGTGGCAGTGCGGGCGCACTTTGCCAGATTGACAATAGGGGGCCAGAGGGCATGCAGTCCGGGGTGCTGTTCGGGGTGTTGTTTGAGGTGCTCTTCAGGCAGTGCTGTTAGAAGTCTTTGCGTGCAATCATTGGCACGTATTTCGCTAGCTGGGGTCTATGCTGGTGTAATATTTTGTTAAAGGGGAGCAATTACAAAAGATGAAATTTCAATAGCCATGGTTGCAAGCAAATAGTGGAGTATAAAAGGGCTTGAGTATTGTATGCTCATGTAGAAACGGAATAACAAGGGTAGATCACATATTGTTATTGGAGATGTTGTTGCTAAAACAGGACTATTGAAACATGATTAAACCAACATCAAAAACGAGTGAAAACTTGTTAGTTTTATCGCTTTTATACATGTTCATAATCTTCAATTAAACAGTGATAAAGAAAAAAAACCTTGAAAACAGTCCAAACATAACCAAAGGAAATTTAGACCACGGAACGGCAACTACTTTGCGACACATGACAGCCGTGCAGGAAAGAAAAGCGCCCATGCGTGTAGTGCGGAACAGAATCTCAGAATGTGAAAAGCGCGCAACCTCTCCGAGTTTCGGTGCTTTTGGACGAAAGTCAGCCCGATCGCGACGCCTGGTCAAAGCATTCTCGGACCGCATCCGGAGCATTCAGAGCCGGCCATTGGCACGGACGCGCGCACTTTTCACGACATTAGTTTGCTTGACAAGCGCAACACTGCCGCAAGTTCAGGCACAGATTGCGTGGCAGCCGCAGCGCTTTGGCAAGGTCAGGCACAGACTGCGCGGCGGCGCAGCGCTTTGGCAGGGCCAGTCACAGATTGCATGGCAGGCGCAGGACTCTGGCAAGGTCAGGTGCAGATTCCGTGACAGGCGCAGCACTTTGGCAGGGTCTGTTGCAGATTGCGTGGCAGATTCGGCACTTCACAAAGTGAGGTACAGATTTCGCGGCAGGCGCAGCACTTTGGCAAGGTCAGGCACACGCGACCAGTGCAGCAATGCCCGCAAATGATACGGAGTCACGTCCAAGTGCGCCCGCTCCAGCGCATCCCTCAGAGCGATTTTCCGCTGGACTTCATTGCTGGGGATACTGGCGATATCGCTGATGTACATCGAGGTGACGGAAGTGGTGCCACGAGTTAGCAAATTCGTCAGAGCAAATTTCATCCTTTTGGTGCTGACGCAAGCCCCGAATCATGGCGACAGTTTGCGGCGCCCGCCCCCCAGTGCTCCATGTCCGTAGATGGTAAGAACCTACGCTCATGTGCACCCGCTCGCCACCATAGATTGCTAGACAGAGAGAGAGAGATATAGAAAGAGTGAAGAAGTGCTGTTTATATAAATGTGAAAACAAGTTGAAATGATAATAAATATATATATATAGATATATATATATATATATGTATACTCTGAATTGAAATGATAATAAATGTGTATATATATATATGTATTCATACTCTAATGGCTATTTTTCAGTACTAAAAACAATACATCAGAAACACAACTACTTACAACACCAAAGTACAAAATATTGCAAATAATATATATATATAGGCTTTAATCATGATACCCCATCCAAGTCTGTGATACATCCTCGAGCCATGTCATTCTCCCAAGATCCCACTTGGAGCTGTCACAGTGGGAGGATTTCCAAGTAGAGTGTTCAATCTCCACAAGCAGACTTTTAACAGAATCAGATAGTAAAGGAGGATTTGCTGGAGGGGTTATTGAAAGCTGTGATTGAACATACTTGAATTCATATTCTATTGCTGAAATGTTGTCGGGATGAATTCCGCGTTTGCTCAAGGAGCTCAGCCAGGGAGTGTTCAAGTTGCTTGCATCCCAGTTGAAAGTCATGGCGCGCAATGTGGCGGCGGCTTGACACAAAGGCATCTCAAATGAGTTCCTCGAGGCCAGGTAGAAGTCGATGCATGCCAGCGGGATCCCGCGCCAAATGGAGTTGCGAAGCCGTAGCTTTTCCCATGGCTTGGGCGCCTCACCCCTCAAGATTGCAGGCCCGTGACGGAGGGCCAGGAGCCAAATGTCGAGATCAACTGTAGCCAGCCTTGCTCCGAGGCGGTCTTTCGCACCTGTGAAGTGGATGAAGCCCAGGATGTTGGTCATGGCCAAGCCTACAAGCTGGCCGCTCAAGGGTGCCACATTGAGGATGTCATCGTCCCGATAACAAATATGTAGTAGCAAAATGATAGCAGTTTCAACCACGAATAGGACCACATTCCCAGGCACATGCAGAACGTTGCGGAACACCACGGCTTTTTGAGGAAATCATCAAAGCGAAGCACCAGCTGCGCCTGCGCAGCTTCACGGGGCATGTAGAGTCAAAAGACTTGGCAAACATGGGCGCTGGCTACCAACGGGTAGCTTGAGCTAGCACGGTGACCAGGAAATCATGGCAATCACTGCGCTTTCACACGAGCAACATGGGCACTCAGCAGAACATCTACTCCCCAGCGAGCAAAGATGGAAAATCCATCGATTATTTGTCCCCTTGTAGGGGTACCCTCAAACAAAGACAAACCCATCTAACAAACACCCGCTTGACAAGGATTTGGGTCCTGTTAATCAGCAGGTATTTGATTAATCTTCCAACTGGGCCAAATGTATCCCTTGAGAGACCCTGAATAACAGGCTGCATTCGACCGATTCGATTTCCACAAGTTGGTAAAGTTTAGCTGGAAAGGCAAAACCAACCCTTGGCTGGTCATTGTTCTGAGATTCGGAGTAACTCTGAAAAAGGGAAATCATGTCCAAATGGATGCGGGCCGTGTCTGAAGGGCCCCAACACCCTGTCCCCCTTGTTTTGAATCACTGGGCTTGTCTCTTGTCTCAAGAGTAACCCGACCCACAAATTTTGGCGGTTGGCGTGTTCGATTTCCCTTTGAGCCAACCCCAAAACCAACCCGCTGTTCAAGGTCCTGGTAGTACTTCATGGCGGCCTCCATGCCGTTCTTCTTGATGTCCTCGAAGACCGCCGCAAGATCAGGGTCCGATTCCAAGGACTTCACCTTGCCAATTCTGCCTTTTGGAGGTGGTGTTCAAGGGAAACCAAAGGGAAACCAGGTACTGAAGAGAAACAAACCACTAAACGAGGGTTCCCCTATGAGGTGCTTCTTTGGGCGATGGTTTTTCAAGGGAAACGACTGAAGAGGCCTCCATCCGTTTCACCCTGGGATAGAAATGGGACTGCTGCCCTGCCCTCGGAAAGGAAACACACTCTTCTTCTTTTGGTTGGGGGGGGTGGGGATTTTTTCAACGCGAAACCAAATGGAAACCAGATGGAAACCAGGGAGGTCGTTTGGACATCTTCACCTTGTCCTGCACCGGGGTGTCCCCGTTGGAGAGCTTGGTGTTATAGTGCTCCGCGATGGCCTGGGTCTGCAGCCATCCCCGCATGGCCTCCGGGCGAGAAACACGACGCTGGTCCCCAACAAACAAGACTTTGTTTAATCGTTGTGAAAAGAGTTGATTGATTCTGTCCTTTTCGGAAGCTAGCTATTTGCTGGGTTGATAGGGCTTACCTATTTTGGGGGGTTGTTTGTGCAAGGGAAAACCACCCCCTTGGGGTAAAAACAGGAGCAGAAAGAGCATGAAGAACCCCAAACTCCAAGGAGGTGGCACGGCCTCCGGGTTCTTCGCGAAGTTCTGCAGCGTCTTGGCCGTCTCCGGGTTGCCCTCCACGTATGCCTTCAGCTCTGCCCAGGTGGCGTCGTCCACGTCTGGCAGCCGGGCGATCTCCATGGTGGTGCCATCGTTGATCTTCAGGGTCTCCGTGGCCATCCCGAAAAGAAAAGGCGGCAACCTACAGATATGGTAGAAAAAAGATGGAAGCGCTTGAGCCTGCAAGAAGGCAGCAGACCATCGTCTTGCGCAATCCTTCCCTCGGTGGGCCACCGGCAGAGAGCCATGAGGCACGGATCAAAGGCTTCAAAATTGGGTTCTTTGGGATCCCTCTCTTGAAAACATTGGAATCGCGAAGTGAACTGCGCTTCACCCAAGCCCCGGCACCTGGCTGGGCTCGGACAGAAGCTGCCGCGCCTGGGATCCCAACGTTGCCACATCCATGGAAGCCGGGTGAGAGGGGTGTTGCTCTTTGAGGAAGTCGACCATTTCCGTGCTTAGACTGCTTAGAGTTTAAAGTTGCAACACCTGTCGACATTTGCAATGTGCCTCTTGGGTGCACGACGAAGGGAGCTCATCAGTCCCGGGACAAGCACAAACAAATAGTAGAGACTCCTCACATGTGGCTCATGTTTCAAGTGTCCCTTATATTAGGACACACCCAACCCTTCTCACACGTCGCAGGCATTCCCAGTGGCCTTGCGTCGGACTCGGGGTCTGTGTGGATGGGGCTTGTCTTGCTTGGAGGTTGCCTGTTGCAACTAAGACAAGATACGTCCTGCGTGGATCACTTCCCTCTAGTGATGGCTCAAGTTGTTCACGCCCACGTTCGTGGCCCACTTTGGCCCACGTTCCACGAGGCCCTGGCAGAATTCGAGGAGTAGGTACTATTTTTGCGCGACATGGCGATATGGCGGCGAGTGCCAAGCTCAGTGAGATAAATCTTGAGGAGATCAAAGCAATGGTCTTGACAAGATCTGAGTCAGAGTGCGCCAAACCATCTTTGCTTGCCGGTCCCTTGTTGACCCGTATCTTGGCAGGAACCCCTAATGGGCCTTTATTCGTGCCAAAGCATTGCAGACATGCACGTGTCACAATCGTGGTGCAGAGAGTACGCTTAAGAGTACTGCCGCAAACACCCCTTCCCCCTCACCTTTGCAAGTATAGATCGGCGCATGCTGTGATCTTGGTGCAAGACACATGTCAGCACAGGCTGCTCAAGGCTTTGCCTAGTTCCACAAGGTGTCACTGACAGCCAAAGTCAAGCACTTGTTGCTGGCCACAAAAAAAGTCAACACTAACTGTCGGGCAGTACTTGTGTTTGTTGTCGGGCTCAGGGTGGGAAAAGCCGACATCTGTCATCAAAGTCCAGGCAAAGGACAACCGTAGGCAACCACAAGAGCGGCTTGAATTGCTACAAACAAAGTGACCACGCCGGTTTGCAGGAGTATATTCCGCGTGAAGATTGCTTCTTTTGTGTTTTGCAGTTTCGGGCCAAAAGAGTTCAAACAGTCACGGCCCTAGCCTGGAAAAAGACCTGCTCAAGGTTTCACAAGGTCTCTACCTGGATGTCTCAATTATCACATACATCAAATTCTTCATATTTCATGGGAGCGCCGAGCACTTGACTGCACGAGTTTGCCTCCAATTCGCTATGGATAACATCCTCACCGAAAGCTGTTGGACGTCAATCCCTATCTTGTCTGGTTCAAGCCTACAAGGCCCCCCGAACTGTGTCGCCAACCTCCGCCTTCCAACTTCAAAACCCTCTTGCCTCGCTTTCCTTCGATCCAAGGGGTCAGCAGGCCAACCAAAGCATGTGCTTGCATTCCTCCCAGTTGACGCAATAACTTGCTAGGCTCACTTCCTGACCAGACAAAGGGCCAAGCTTGCTGGTTGCACCAAAATGGCCTTCTCAAGGCTAAAGTCCAGGAACTCAGGGAGTGGGCCGGCTTTCTGCCGGGTGCGTAGGTAGCAAAAACAGGTCGCCTGCGCGAACGCCCCTGCCGCCTCGCGTTTTCACTCAAATGGCCAAGTCCGGGCAGCGCCACTGCGGCGGCAGGTCGTTCCGCAGCTGTCGGCCCTTCCAACGAGCCAGGCCTGGCGGGGACGGCTGCGTGACCAGCTCCCAGAAGTCACTTCCCGTCTGGAAGATTGCTACTGATTTTTGTTGCTTAGATGCCTCGTTCCTATGTTCGTGTGGGTGTTTTTTTTGTTGCATAGCCCAGTCAAGGGGAGCGAGCTTGTTGGTGAGTGCCGGATGGGCAATCCGCATTCGCCAGGTCCTCCCGCCCCATCCAATACCACTCGCCTAGGACCAAGCCGTCGTACTTGACAACTGCCTGGCGCGGTTGCAGCTTTGCACTGACGTCCGAAGCGACAGTGGCAAGCATGTTGGCAGCAAGTTCCCGAAAACACGCCGTTATTCCCGTCCGGTGCGGACACATGATTTGCGCGGTCCGCTCGCATCTAGGAAAGCTGGTTGCATGGCGGCATCTGAAGGCGGGCCAACAGACGCTGCTCACGGTTTCCACATGCAGATTGGCTTCAGTGCCTATTCTGCAACTCCCCGCCCCTTGCAGCCTGCTGAACATTAGCCAAGGGCTCAATGGGTTCTCAGGCCCTTGTATGAATTATCCAAGAAGCGTCCCTGCCAAGTGTTGGTCTCAGTGTCCCGGATACGTCTTCCCTTCAGATCTGCAGGCCGCTTCTCAGACTGCAGATTCTTGGGAGGAAGCTGGGTCCAGTCCCAAGATCCAAGTCAGCATCTCCAATCCGATATTGGTGCTCTAGAGCCACGCGACAGGGCTCTCCCTTCCTAGGCGAGTGGACAGTTCAACAGTTGGGATCAACGGCAATGGCAGGAAGGGAGGAGCGGTCGCCTCACTAAGCCAAGCCGCTTCTCTGGCACTTGGCGTGCATGCAGCTAATTCTGAGGGAGATCCCAATTCTGGCGACAACCTCAGTCGACAACCCAAACATATAACTTCATGCAGCAATTTTGCACTACAGCCATCTGATCCTCATCTTTTGCCTTCATCTCATTCCAATTCCAGCCACTGGCGCTTCAGGCAAGTCCGCGCATCCCACCCGGGGTGGTGCTCCGGGCTGTCGCACCAATTCCAAAAGAACCAGCCATGTGAAGCGTGGCTGTACGCTTGGAGCTGAGCACTGGCAAAGGCCTTGTATGCCTCAGTGAGATGACGCATTCCATGTGGCACGCAACGAATCCCATCCTTCCCCCCCGTTTTGTTCCATTCCTGATCAGGGAAAATGAGGAAAACCAAAAGGGCAAAGAGTGAAAGCTATCTTCATGTTTCGCCAAGTTTGCTTCAAACAGGTGTCTCAAGTGGCCAATGAGCCTACCCCCCGCCACCCGCTCCCCCCCCCTCCCCTCCCCGCCTGGTCCTCGTGGTCCGCCTGCGCCACCGCCTTCTGCGGCAACGCCAGGCTCCACTCCCCGACCACCGCAGGCACGCGCCGCAGGATCTTGCGGTCCCGCTTGGCCATGCGCAGATGAGACCCCAGGCCCTGGCGGTGCCACCAGGCGCCGAAGCCTCAGAGAAAGCTTCCGATGCCAGGGCAGCGACAAGCGAACGATGGGCTCCCATTTCCGTGAAGGGATGCCAAAAACGGAACCAAACATGTGTTTTTTTTCTTTAATATGGCCGGGTTGATCACCTTTCTCGGTTTGTTGCCATTCCCAAACTGGAAAAGAAGGGAACATGCAGCAACCGCACCAGCAAGTACGGTAACTTCCTGCTCGTTTTACCCCATCGTAGCTCCATGCCTCAACAAGCTCGAAAATTGCCCTCACCCGGCCCTCACCCGACCCACTGAGGGCGGGGGAGGTCTATCTGGGAGTGGTTGAAGGCTGAAAGTGCGCAAGACAGCAGCAACGCCCCCGGATGAGCCAACACTCTGAACTGACTGAACTGAGAGTCTGAAGCACCCTTCAGGGAAGGCAGCCTAAATAAAATATTGGAGGGATCAAGCCTTTTCTTGGACACTGATGATTGAAGTGGCGGAGAATGCAAGCCACTAAGAATGCCACAAACCCCGCATCGTCCATCGGGATGCTGTAATGACGGACCACTGTTGAATGCTTCAGTCAGAACCATCAAACAACAGCAGCTGGCATATTTGATGACATGTTGAGTCGAATGGATCCAAAGTGTGCAGCAATTGAGGCAGAAGTGGAGGCCCTCGGCTTGTCATTTCTGGAATTCAAGTCAACCATGGAAGCTGGCAAGCGTTGGAAGACCTCTATGGCCCACCCTCCTGGCCGGCCAAGCAGCAGTGGTAGAGATGAAGGTCGAAAGCCACGTTGGCATGCCGCGCGAAGCCATCGAACGTCTTGCTCCAGACTCGCCAGATCTCGTCTAGGCGCTCGGTGCGATAGATGGGAAGCACCTCGAGTGCCCAGGGGATACAAGTTGCCATGCCCTTGAGGACAAGTCAAGAAAAGTGACCACAACAAACCCTTCGGATGGCTATTATCTTACTTAGAAAAAAACCAAACACTTGAGGTAACCCGGATCCTCAGCGGCCATGGGAAGGGCGCTCTCCTTTTTGGTAGTTGATTTTTAAGGGCCTGGGGGCTACTGGGGGACTGAGCTAAGAGCGAGGCCCACCTCAACGCAACCAGGGCGCTATGCTCACCTCCTCCGGGGGCATCCCGGCCGTGCGGATGGCTCGGACGGCTTGATCGTAGAACTTGCACAAAACCTCCGCGGGAACCTTCTCACTGGGCTCGTTGCACACGGAGATGCCCGTGACTGCAGGGTGGCCTTTATACCTGCCAGGGTAGAAATCTCAGGTGGTTGGACCAGATGTTGGTGGACCTCAAATTTTGGTCGAAATGTATGAGTTATGTCCAACCCGCTGGTTGACCTAGCTTCAAATTGGTTGACACCACCGCCTCTGCGCCAAGATCCGCAGAGCTTCCAGGGACTCGTCGAAGCGCCAGAGCTGCCACCGCCACTTGGAGCTCTCGCGGCCGCAGGGCGCCTCCGCGCTCTCGCCCCCCGGGGCACCGTGCAGGTCCAGCAGCGCTTGCAGGCCCAGCTGCCTCCCAAAACGTAGAGGAAAGGAGAGATGGAGGGAAACAATGTAAAATATCTCTTAAAACCTGATATATGAATACTCCATGTTGTATGAAAGCATAATGCTAACTCTCCAAATAGAATGTAGATGGTTTCTATATACCACCCCCCAAACCACTGCTGGGGCCCAGGGGTTCTTGGGATACCCCGCTTTTTCCCCGGGGTTGGCGGTTAGCGGTTTGTGGAAATCTGTGGATACTTCATTGGTTGGCGAAGACTAGACAAATGGAAGTGGAGGGGACTGCCTGAACAACTGCAATGCCCAGGCGAACATTCCCTGAGGGGTTGTGACCGTTAGGGCCGAATTGCAGTGGGCTGACGGGGAGCGGGGAAGGAGCCCAGCAAGGAAATGTAAACAAGCACGGCGGCACGGCTTGCTTGGACCGTTGCCCGGGATGTGCATCTTCAAACAGCACGCCAGCTTCATTAGCTTGTGGGAAGCCACAAACTCGTTTTTTGGCGCTAGCCCAGAGGCCCTGCACACATCTGGCTGATGGGCCCCCCCTGGCTGCGAAAAGGTGACCTTGCTTCATACAGTGCTCTGTTGACCTGTCATGAGCAATGGCATCTTTGCAAGCTCTCTTTAAGGAGCCTGTGTTCTTCATACATCCCCCTACCTCTTGAAAGAGTGTCGGATGATCCATCTGAAGCGCACCATCTTATCAAGGCTTGGAAGGAATCTATACGCTTCGGAGCAAAGAGCATCTTGAGTCCCGAAAGCAGTCCAAAGCTGTGGACTGAAAGGATCTGAATAGCAAACCATGGTCCCGCTCGTTGCAAGTGGCCTGTAGAGCTTACCTGGTGTCCCAGAGTCATGCGCTTGATCGAATGAGGGCAGAGGAAGAACATCTTGCAGCCTGCTTCTGTTTCTAGCCAATTCTTGCTATCTCAAATTCTTAGGCCAAGCAACCTGCCAGGAGGTGCTAAGCAATAGCCCTCCACTTTGCACGAGAATATAGTATCAGTGAATCGACACACTGCGCCTATGGGCGCGATTACAAGAGCAAAGCTTCCTCAAGATTGTGACAGCATCGTTCCAACAAAGCTAAAAAGGGTGGGTGGGTGTGTCTTGTTTTGAGGCTCGGTCCCCTTTTTGGGGTTGGCTCAAAAGGGAATTCAAAATGAAAACCCACCCATTTTGAGGGGATCCAGATCCCCATGCGGACATGTATAGCTATAGTTCCCTTTTCGGTGGTTGTCTAAGATTTCGGTCATGCTTGAGAAGACAACAACTTCTGTTTGGTGGTCCCCTTTAAAAACAGGTGCACCCCAAAGAAGGGAATGTGACCCTCGAAGCGATGAACCTGCACCAGGTCAGGGCCCGGTCCAAGAACTCCAGGCCGGGGCCCACGTAGGGGTCCCCACCAGACGCGCCACACACCACCCAGTATCCAAAGGGGATGCGCACCTAAGAAGCTCGGAGCAAGCTTTCTTTTCATCAGTCTCAGGAGGAAACCCCAAAGTTTGCGACTCACTTCGCTGCCAGAAAAGCTGCAGGCTGAGGAAATGAGATTGCTACTCGGAAATCTGCCAAATCTTCCGAAGCCTTTGCAAGTAGGAAGCTCCTTGCACACTCAGACACACTGCAAAGGAACAGCCAAGATCGCCCGAGATCCCAAAGCCCCTCCCAAGCTGACCGCGTGGCTTCGCCTCACTCCCTGTCGACAGCGCAGGTTTTTGGGGCCGAGGGGCCGCGTTGAAGCCCCGGGCGCGGATCTGGCGGAAGTCCTCGCTCAGCGGGGGGTCACAGTCACCTTGAGCCCAAATTGTAGATGGCAGTTGATTTGTGTATTTGAACACATGTAAAAACCCGGAAAGGGAAAAAAAAACATGCAAACTCAAGGCAGGCCTGGCGGGGGGAACATGGGGTATGTAATCTAAAGTTGTTGTTTCTCTTCCCAAGGTGTTTTCTGGCCCACACGACCCCAACAACAGTGTGCAAGCAAGTGCACTCCCGGGGCATCCTCTTTTGTTTGTATACGTCTTCAATTAGAGCTACTTTGGGGGGGTGTCTTGCCCCAATTTGGAAGAGCAATCCGAGCAGGTTCCAAAGTCCAAATTCATTTGCCTGGCTCTAGATGCCTTTTGCAGAGCTCGGTGGGTCCAAAACCGCCAAAAAAAAAAACGGTCCTCCTCTGTCAGGAAGGTGCTGCGGTGTGCGTGCAGCACCTCTGTGGTCTTCTCAGCGCCCAGCCGCTCACCTCAGAACTGAGGTGTTCACAGAGCCCAGCTGGCATCCTGGGGAGTACCTGCTAAACCACCCACCTGCATTACAAGATGATACTGGCCGAAATATCAAGGACCCTGTTCAACTTGAAGTAGCGTCGCTTGAAGGACATGATTGTCTCACAGGAGCTGGTGAGTTGCCCCTCACTGGCTTCGTGGTCGATCCAGTCAGTCAGTCAGTCAGTCAGTCAGTCAGTCAGTCAGTCAGTCAGTCAGTCAGTCAGTCAGTCAGTCAGTCAGTCAGTCAGTCAGTCAGTCAGTCAGTCAGTCAGTCAGTCAGTCAGTCAGTCAGTCAGTCAGTCAGTCAGTCAGTCAGTCAGTCAGTCAGTCAGTCAGTCAGTCAGTCAGTCAGTCAGTCAGTCAGTCAGTCAGTCAGTCAGTCAGTCAGTCAGTCAGTCAGTCAGTCAGTCAGTCAGTCAGTCAGTCAGTCACCACCGCACGACGCCCACTCCTCACGTACACACCAGCCACCTCCCAACCTCGTACCTTTTGGTGCGCTGCCACCTCCCAACCCCTCACCTTTTTGTGCGCTAGCTTTGCCCACTTCTGAGCCCGCTCTCCCCCACCTTTCTGTGAAATCAAAACTGGGTCATCCCCATGACAACATTGTGGATTCCCTCGGTATCACAAAAAAAGTGGCTCTAACACCCAATGTTCCACAACTATACCTCGAATTACGCGTTCCTCAAACTTGCTTCTGGTCCAAATTCAGTGAACCGCACAATCTAAACTTATTTTTCAGAGAGACCCCCGTGAGGTTTGTCTCATCTCGCCGAGGGTCGCATGGTCCTCAGCAGGCTCCACTCGCAGCGGTTGGCATTCGTCCCGTGGAGCTGGAAGAGCTCGTGGCTGGGCCCAGGCTCCAGGAGCAGCCACCCGCCCAAGTTCACCTCAGGTGGGGCCCTGTGGCCACTCGTTTCGTGGTTAACCAAAACCACTGTTCGAGCAACCTGCTTCTGGCTTCCCTAGGTTTAATCACTCGCCCAAGCCACTTGGTCATCTTATGCAATTGTTTGACGTCATAATTGTTCCACCTATGCCCCGAGCTACCGTCGAATGACCTCTGGGCGACCTTGGGAACAACTACGGTGAGGTTCTGAAAAACGTTGAAGCTTGGCTCTGCACCGGCCTGACAGATACCTTCGTATTGAAGACGGAATGAAAGCAGAGTACGGACCCGGGCAAACAATCTGGAGGAATGTTGTGCATTCTCAACCGACTTCCACTACCCTTGCAATAAATGTCAGTGTCACCATTGTTCACAGTATTGTGTATATAGGTAACAGGTTGTGTTCAAAGTTCTTTGTTAGCATCATCTTCGTTGCGGGAACTCCATTTCCCACATTCACTAGCTTCACGCTCAATTTGACACAATTGCAAGGCGGTTTGCCCCCCAAACAAAGAATCAGCTTTTACTTGGCAAGACTCATTTTTTCCTGATCATGGACATCCGCCCAGAAAGAAAAGTCTTCCAGCCGGTTGGATTGCGATAGTCAACACAGTTCAAGAAAACGACATACCAGAACAAACAAAAGCAAACCAGGGGGAAATTGTTTCAAACAAAACAAACCAACCCCAAAACCAAAACTCCCCAGCTTCAGGTTCCCAGGCGCCCCTCGATAGGGCGGCCGCCGCCAGTAGAGCCTGCGGTGCTGCTCGAGGTATCGGGCCAAACTCGCCGCGGCCTTGCCCAGGTCCTGGCGTCGGATTCGCTTCTCCAGCGGCGTCCCATGATGTGGCCATGGGCTTTTCAAGCCAAATCGTACCCCCAGCGAGCATCAACCAATCCCCACTAAGATAGGTTCTGAAATGGGTGGTGCACCGAAAACCCAAAAATGGTACCATTGGTTTTGACCCACAGCCATGCGCCTTACCCCAAGTTGGTGGTTTGGACCTCGGGCGCCTTAGGATCAAATCCACACAAACCAAACCAAAAACCACCAATTAAGGGGCAGGACAAGGGTACCCTGGAAAAGCGAGCACCATGGGCTCTTTATAATAGATTCAGATCCTGCTGAGGGCCAGCACAAAAGAGCATCCCCTATTTGAACATACCTCATATTGTATATGACTACTGAAAATGTTGACCAAATCTCCCATGGGTTCGCTGTGGGGAGCTTTTCCTTCCACTGCAAAGAGACCAAACCTTTGGGAAAGGGTGAAGCAGGGTTCAAAATGGTCTGGTCAGAAAGCCAAGACTTCTGTGAACGCCTGTTTGAAACAACCATGGCTTCGAATCGAGGAAACGACGGAAAGATGTGGCGTGGGACATTGACCCAGTGCCATGTTCAATTTCCAAGTTGGGCTTTGTTTGCCAAGGGACCAAGGAACCCAAGGGCATTTCCTGCACAAATTCCCGCTGACCGGGATTGCCATTTGGGGTGTCCTTTTGTTGCGAAGGTACCCCGCTTTGGTACCTGTGTTTGTGGGTCTTAAAGGGAAACCAAAAGTAACACCACCCATTTTCGGGGTCCGAACTAAAATTTACACCCAGAGACATGACGTCCCTGTCCTGAGAGACCTGGCGCCAGTAGGCCACAGCGCACAGCGACATGGTCCGCACCCTGGCCACCAACACATCCTCCGCCGGGCACGCGGAGCCTCCGATGGGCCGCGGCCTGCTGCGACGCAGGGCCTCGGATTCCGCAGAGAGGCCAAATAGGAGGTGTCGGCGTAGGAGGTAAAAAACAATACATCCCTTTGGGGGACTCACTGAATTTTGCATGTCAACTAGAATTAGGAGAAGAAGCGGACAAAAGACTAAAGTCATCAATGCCTTTTGGGGGACGAAACTGATATTGCCGTGTCAATTAGGGTACCAGATTTCGAGCGTGGCTCATACCAGCCAAAATGCTCGCCAGAACATGTTGGAAGCACGAGGCAATGCTCCCAGACTCAAGATTGCAAAGTCTCAAAGGCCAAACGCTTCCGGGCAATCTGATGGGTGCTAAGTCGTGTTTTTCTCCAGTTTCTCTTGGAAAGTTAGCAAGCCTCCCCATGCCCCTCCCGAATGGACCATAGCTTGGACCAAACCTAATACTTGCATTTCCAAGCTTCCGGTCATCTTTACCAACATGCGCTCCTTCTTTCCCAGATAAGTTTTGGGCACGTTGCTCTTGCACCCCAAACCCAAACAACCCCTTGACCCACACTCGGAGCAGTCCCATCATTCTCCAAGGGGCTGCACACACGGCCGCTCCCAAGCGCTCCGCCTCCCAGCCGCTCTCTTTCAGGGCAGTGGTCAGGGTCGACAGCGCCAACGAAACCTCGCTTGGGCCAATGGGGCACTGGGCCGGGACCCTTTTGAGTTGGCAACTTGAGGCATGTCACTTTAATGTCACTTGCGAAAGAGATGCATACAAATGCAGAACCCTTTCTGAAAAGGTCGACTAAAATCCGCCCTTAAGCATGGCCTGCCGCAAGGCCTTCAACAGCGTCCCCAAAATGCTGCCACATCGTGTCTCATGCCCATGTGAGCCAGTTGGAAGATGGGTCAGTCCGGTTTCTTTCAAGTTCCCCCAATTCACTGGGAATGACTTTTTAGCCTGAATGATTCGCAAGCTGGCTCAACCAAGAACAAGTTGGGCAAGCAAAAGAGCAAGTTGGGAAAAATGATGCTGGTTCTGACACCGTGTTACCCTAAATAGGTTCTAACAAATAGGTTCTACGCTGCACTGGCATGATTGCCAGCGATGAGTTCCGTTTGTTAGAACCTGTTCAACGGGGCTCCGAACCAACCGAGCAGCGACCTCTGAATCCCACACAAGATCATGCATTCGAGGATGTCCATAGCTTTACAATCGATAAAACCCCTACTGTGGATCAAATCCTGCACTAGTCGGTGGTGCTTGGCATGAGTTTTGTCCATCCACTTAATTTGCCGAACACACTTGCCGGACCCACCCTCGAACTACCCCTAACAATTGGATGTTGGCCCAAAATCATGAGGTGTGTTCCAATCTTTATGGACCCTTTGAGGGTCCAGACGCATTTACTGTCATCTGTAGTAGTAAAGTGGATGACATGGTTAACCAAACATGTAATTGGAACACAATAAATTGGACCGACTCATGCAGTTACTGCCCTTCCATGGAGAGAAACCGACACAAGGATGTTGAAATCGGGGAGGCCAATTACTATACGCTATTGGGAGAAGCAACCAGGGTATGGAGCAAAGTCAGGTTTTAGTCCTTGTTCCCATTTAACGTCCCATTCTGGGTGCCTCTTGTGCGACCCACACTCACCAGTTGCAGAGGTTGCCGTGCGAGGCGCCACCTCTTCGGCGGCCTCGAGCGAGGCGCCGGCCGCCTCCACGCAGAGCTCGTCCGGCTGGGTTTGGCTCGCCTCGCTGCCCAGGGACAGCGGGAACCGCAGCGCCACGTCCTCGGCTCGGAGCGCCGGATCCCCACGGCCCGTGGACGGTGGCTGGTCGCGAGGCGCGCATGGCCACAATGGCTCTATGACTCTGAAGTTGATGTGGCCGGATTCAAAGGCCGGCGCGGCAAATGGTGCGCATGGAACACAAATACAACGGCGGAATATTTCGCCTATGCTCTTCCCTTTGCAAGTGGATGCCCAAGTTCGCCTGACAAATGAGCAGCGCCCAACACCCATCAACTGCTGCCACCAATTATGTTACAAGGCTTGTAGAGGTCCTTCTACAATCCCAAGCAGTAGAAGCTTCCCTCTAGTTGGGGGTTTGCATTGGCGCTTTGGAGGCGTTCCGAGGGTGGTTTCCCATTTCCCCACCAGAACCAGGGGCTGAAATCCCCAAGCCACCAATCCAAACCACCCAAATGGATGGCTTCGACGATGGATCAGCATGATCAGCTGGGTGTTTCTGCGCCGAGCCGCGCGGTGCGCCGATTCCGCCTGCTTCCTGGCGGCGGTCCAGACTGCCGTGGTCACTGCCTGGCACACGGCGAAGGGCAGCAGCCCGTCCGACAGCGGCCCGTGCTCCGCGTCCGCCTGCGGGGCCGTGGGGGGGGGGGGGGGTGAGCCGTGGGCCGTGAGGCTGGGGGATGTTGAGGGGATGCAAGGGCCAACAAAGGGGGAGGGAAGGATTGCAGGCGAGGGAAGTCCGACCTGAGAGTTGCCTCACCAATCACAGCTCGACATATGCAGGTGGAAATGGGACTGCAAAAGCACAAAGCAGTGCAAACCTCCAAAGCCAAGTTTGTGCAAACGCCCCGCCTTGGAGCAATGCTGGCAGAACTCCTCACAGGTGAGCTGTCTGCATCCATGAGATCCACTGCGTGGTCAACTGATGTTCCCCACTTTCCACATTTTCGCCCGGAACCCTCCCATCGCCGCAAATCGCAAGGCCCTAGAGGGCTCCTTGCCTCCTTCAAACATTGCCCCACCAAAAGGAACTCGATCTCAAATGGCCAAGGCGATCTTCGATTCACCACAAAAAGGTAAAGCTAAGCGATGTCAACATGGGGCATCCCCAAAACGGCTCTTTGCTTTCCCTCAAAGGCCCCGAAAAAGTGTCTGCGAAGAATCACCAAAGAGGGTCTCAAAATCTCAACCTCTCGCTCCTGCCGCTCGCGCCGCTGGCAGGGGCTGCGGCTGCGCTCGCCGCGCTCGCCGCGCTCGCCGCGCTCCCGGGCTTCGGCGCCCGCGGCGCCCGTGGCGGAGCCCGAGCGGAGGCAGCGGCAGCGCATGGCACCGCGACACACGGAGGCCGGATGGAGGGGTCGGGGAGAAATGCAGCTGGAGTTGACATGTGCGTAGAAAACTCTAGATTTGAGCTCTGAGGTTTGCAGGTCCTGGTGCTGCGTGTTGGGTGTGAATAGAATTGCGGGCCTCCATACTGCCCGCGGTCTGTATGCCTGTGTTGATTGCCCCACCCGTCCTGCAGCCGCAAGTGGCAAGAAAGGGCAACCGCTTGACTGCATCTGCCAGCCTGCACAAACAATTGCACACACACACACACAGAACAGGCCAACTCACACGTAGGCATGCAAGACAACAAAACTGCCCCCACCTGTGCGCCCTCTTCAGCCACGGCGGCAGCCGGCGTCCACAAGGGCTCCACATCCTACGCGGAAAATCTGTCTAGCCCTTCTTGCGTCAAAGCGAAGGACTGATGGGTGAGGTTGCTTTGTTCCAAGTCTTTGGTTGCCCAATAGAAAAGCCTTAGCAAGGGAAGAGCAGAGAAGCGAACGGGCTGGCGACCTCTGGTCTGTGCCACACAAGAGGCAAAACGTCCCCACGGCTGCTTTTACTCCGCACACATTTCAGGCAAGGCCAGGCGCTTTCAAGCCTTTCAGCCTTTTGCCCTGTGCCCTGGCGCGAGGCCTTCCATTTTCTATGAATCAGGGCGAACTACAACCCAAGCGGGTCATGCAGCGAATTCCTCAGACTCGAAGCTTTGTCGGGGCTCAATCACCTGCACGCCAATCCAGGGCTCGAAATTGCGAGAAAGGCATGGCGCTGGGCTGCGGTGGGAGCCACTTCCCCACCTATCTTGCCTTCCTGACCCAATCAGCATCAATCAGCCGTATCCAGCTGTGGAATCTTCCAGCCTCAAGCAGCCTTGGCGTCCTCAGCCTTTTCCTCCGCCACCTCAGGCACGCAAGCAACATGGCTATGGCAGATTTGAAGGCAGCATTGGATTCCAAAAGAGGATGCTCGCGTTCTTGCCCTGTAGCCGAGCCAGCTCCCACTTTGACCCGCTTGGCAGTCGAGATGTTTTTGCTACATACGAGATTTCGCGCATTGTCCTACCTTGTGGGTCGGGCAAACCACCCACCGCAAGGCCTTGTCATTGCTTGCAGCTCGCCACTCCAGCCTTGGCCGCACTCGCTGTGGCCCGAAACTCAAGACCCGAAACGGGCTCCAGGCCGAAGGGACCAAAGGACACCCTTTGCCAACTTTGTTGGGTCATGTCCCAGGCAGGGCTTGGAGCAGCCCAATGTTGCTCCGCCGGAAAGACATCCCAAATTCGCCGAAGACAGTCCGACAGCTTGACAAGGCGGAAAACGCTTGGTTTCCAGTGCTGGCAAGGGGCAAGAAGTTGGTTGTGAAACCGCACGCCGCCAACCTCGGATGTTGGCAGAAGCCCGACTCCCCCACCCTGCAACCACTGCAACCACGGCACGTGGATTAACGTACACGGCATTAGTGTATAATGTTGACTTGGAATTCATCTGGCTTCCCTCTGGCTGCGAACAATCCGGTTTCTCAGATGGGAGGACTCCACTCATCGAAGGCCCAGCATTCTGCGTGTAATTACAGCTGGCTGAGCATCCTCCTTTGCACTCAATTCATGGGCAAAAAAGGCAAAGACAGAGAAAAGCAGAGAATCCAAACTGCATGTTTCGGGGGCCTGCCTCCAAGTTCGCCCAAAATCGAAAATGGACCCTCCCAGCAGCCAGCTGGTGCAGACTTGAAACAAAAAGTCGTTCCGCTGCGAAATCGAAGACCTCTCAAAAGGAGTGGCTTTGCCTTTTCGAGTGGAGCTCCCCCTCCGGCGAAGCGGCATGTACGGCAGCACATGCACCCCATCCGTCCTCAGATCAAAAAGTTGCGCCTATCGGAAGGCGACATCGAAGCCTGAGATGGGAACCCAAGTGCAAGCAAATGGGTTTGCGTCAAAGGGAGACCCGAAACTGGGTTTCGGTTTGTTTTCTGAACAGTTGGTGTTTCCTTCAACCTTGCCCTCAAAAACTCAAACACACACAAAAAAGAAACTCTCTCAGCCAGTGAGTTCTGATTCAATTGGGATGGAGTTTGCAGCCGGGCGCTGGCAGGTGTGGAATCCCAATGAGAAATGAGAGTCTAAGAGGACTCGAGGAGTGTCAAGCAGAGCCAGGAGCTTCTGAAACTTCCATCGGCCTAGGGCCAGTGAGAAGGGGCCAAAAACTGTTTCTGGGTCGCGGGGAATCTTTGGCTGTTTCCCTGGCCAAGGTGCCAGCCAAAGAGCGCTTCGACCTTGGGGGATTCATCCAGCATGGTGGGCGTCCAAACCAGGCGGTAGTAAGCTTCCGCAAAGATGGCGAGGAACACGGCCCTGCAGAAACCATTTTGCGAGCACACGGCCCCACCATCCAATGGATGAAAGTGAAACCTACCCCTGGCCCTCGATAATCGCGGAATCTGGCCAGGCCAAGCCGTGCAACACGATCTTCTTTTTCAGAGGGCCTTCAGACAGGAACAGCCGGCAATTGACACAGGGATCTGTGGGAGTATCAAAATCTCCCACCTGCTGGCTATGGGCACCATGCTCAGCCTGCGATCTCAGGAGCTGGGAAGGAAGTCACGTGACAGGCTGCTGAGACAGCGCCATCGTGGCCAAGCATTTCGAGTTGCCAACAGGAATCTCTTCGGGTAGCCATGCTGATCTGAGTCGCATGGCAGGCATTGACAAAATGAACCTGGCATTGAATCAACTGTTGGGTTTGATGTTCAACTTGAAACATTTTGGTGGACTTCCTTTGGGTAGGGGTGCACATCAGCCATTTTGGGGGTCCGTCTTCCCGTTCCTAGCCAGGTCCCGGTCGCCGGCTGCGCGGCTGCATCCAAGGCGCTGGAAGAACCTGCCGCAAGCACTCACAGGGCACAAAAGATACCCCTCCAAACAGAAAGATGGCGCGGCAACCTTGGCGGCTTCAGACGGAGTTTTCTTTACTCTTTCTTGGTGGCCCCAAATTTGCTCTTTTGGGGTTTACTTTCAGGGGTGCCTAGGAGTCTGGGAAGCCTTAAGGGAGCAATGCCTCACAGCGAATGCTTCTGGATGCTTCTAGATCAAGCCTTCGCTCAACAGTTAACAGCTGGGTTGTAGACTCATTGCTCATGCCCTTGTTGAATTTGATGTATACCTCTATGATTGATGAAAGGAGGGGAGACTTGCAAGACTCGTTTGTTGTCGGAAGCCAGATGCTCTTGTGAAATCAGGGCGTCAATGCTTGATGGATGAAGCCCATCCACAGCTCGCCTCCCACATATCATCGACAAATTCAGGTTGAAGTTGGCAGCGCCGCTGAGGGTAGCCACCCTCAGTCAGCAGGTCAATGGCGATCCCGGCCCACAACCCGCTCGAGTCCAGACGGTTGTCATCCTCCCCGACAATTGGACCATCCATTCGAAGCAGACCAAGCATTGACAATTTTCAGCCTAAGCACATCTGCGAGGTATGTTTTAAAGTGAGAGTGCCGTGGCTCATCTTGGCAACCAACTCGCAACCACCGCATGTTACAGCAAATTATTAAATTATTCATCAAATCCTTGCTTTTGGTGCGTGCATGTGTGTTTGGCAGAATTTCCTGCTGCTCTCTATAAATCTTCAAAACGAGTTTCTTTCCATCAGTAAGGCTGGAAACCTCAGGTCTCCTTCAGGGCTCCCATCACAAGTACAAACATATATGTACATATACTGATATGCTTCTGTTCATTCATTCATTCATCCATTCATTCACTCATTCACTCATTCATTCACTCATTCATTCACTCACTCATGCATTTCACTCACTCACTCACTCACTCACTCACTCACTCATTCATTCATTCACTCATTCATTCATTCATGCATTTCACTCACTCACTCACTCACTCACTCATTCATTCATTCATTCATTCATTCATTCATTCATTCATGCATTTCACTCACTCACTCACTCACTCATTCATTCATTCATTCATTCATTCATTCATTCATTCACTCATTCATTCATTCATGCATTTCACTCACTCACTCACTCATTCATTCATTCATTCATCCATTCATTCATTCACTCATTCATTCATTCATGCATTTCACTCACTCACTCACTCACTCATTCATGCATTCATTCATCCATTCATTCATTCATTCACTCATTCATTCATTCATGCATTTCACTCACTCACTCACTCACTCATTCATTCATTCATCCATTCATTCATTCATTCACTCATTCATTCATTCATGCATTTCACTCACTCACTCACTCACTCATCATTCATTCATTCATTCATCATCATTCACTCATTTCATTCATTATTATATTTCCTCACTCTCCCTCCACTCATTCATTCATTCATTTCTTCCATTCATTCATTCATTCTTTCATTCATTCCATTCATTCATTCTTTGATTCATTCATTCATCCATTCATTCATTCATTCATTCATTCATTCATTCATTCATTCATTCATTCATTCATTCATTCATTCATTCATTCATTCATTCATTCATTCATTCATTCATTCATTCATTCATTCATTCATTCATTCATTCATTCATTCATTAATTAATTCATTCATTCATTCATTCATTCATTCATTCATTCATTCATTCATTCATTCCATTCATTCAT